AATGAAAAATATTTTAACGCAATTTTTTGAATCTGATTTCACACTGATATATGATATATATTATATCAAAAAGACACTTTTAGATGACTCGATATATATTATCTCGCGCGCATGAAAGGTAGTACATCATATCTGTAAAGCTGTCGATATTTCAAACCCAAATGATCGAATTTAGTTTTGTCGAAAGTATATTATAAGAAGAAATTTTTTATGGGTCAATCAGAAAAATGTGCACGACATATATATATATATATATATATATATAGGACAAAAATCTCTATTTCAACTGCCATTTCTGATTACAAATTCAATATTGAAAATTAAATTTTCATTTCTTTATAAAAGCAATTCATCGAAGGGACTCGAGTACCTATATAGTAAAGAAAAAAAAAAGTGAGAGAGAGAGAGGAGAACAGTAATATGTAAATTTAAGACTATAAAAGCAAATTCAAATAATACGATGCCTCTATTATAACCCAAAGTTGTCTGAACTAGTTGCATTCATATCATGTGGTTCGAAAATTTACATATAGGTGAATTTCCAAACCAAATTGGTTTAAGTTTCCGAATGAAATTTCGAATGTTTCTTCCGTGAGAAATCACGATTTTCAACTTGGAGTAAAAAGAAGAAAACGAGTCGAATTTTTGTCATTCAAATTTATTAGAATTACACGGGGAAAAAAAAAGATTTATACCTAAAACAGCGAAAGATTTTACTGGAATAGCAAAAGTTTTAATTATGTTATAGTTAAATATTTCATTACTTTTTTTCTTTTTTTTATTTTCATTTGGTGGCAACCGTTTCCATGACAACTGTTTCCATAGCAACCGTTTCCATAGCAACTGTTTCCACAGCAACTGTTTCCATAGCAACTGTTTCTATAGCAACTGTTTCCATAGCAACCGTTTCCATAGCAACTGGTACGAAAGTAACTAGTACCAAAGTAACTAGTACCAAAGTAACTAGTACCAAAGTAACTAGTACCAAAGTAACTAGTACCAAAGTAACTAGTACCAAAGTAACTAGTACCAAAGTAACTAGTACCAAAGTAACTAGTACAAAAGTAACTACTACCAAAGTACCAAAGTAACTGTTACTAAACTAACTAGTACAAAAGTAACTACTACCAAAGTACCAAAGTAACTGTTACTAAACTAACTGGTACCAAAGTAACTAGTACCAAAGTAGCTGGTACCAAAGTAACTGGTACTAAACTAACTGGTACCAAAGAAACTGGTACTAAACTAATTGGTACCATAGCAATTGGTACCAAAGTAACTAGTACCAAATTAGTTGGTACCATAATAACTAGTACCAAAGTAACTAGTACCAAAGTAACTGGTACTAAACTAACTGGTACCATAGCAACCGTTTCCATAGCAACTGGTACGAATGTAACTAGTACCAAAGTAACTAGTACCAAAGTAGCTGGTACCATAGTAACTAGTACCAAAGTAACTGGTACTAAACTGGTACCATAGCAACCGTTTCCATAGCAACTGTTTCCATAGCAACTGTTTCCATAGCAACCGTTTCCATAGCAACTGGTACGAAAGTAACTAGTACCAAAGTAACTAGTACCAAAGTAACTAGTACCAAAGTAACTAGTACCAAAGTAACTAGTACCAAAGTAACTAGTACCAAAGTAGCTGGTACCATAGTAACTAGTACCAAAGTAACTGGTACTAAACTGGTACCATAGCAACCGTTTCCATAGCAACTGTTTCCATAGCAACTGTTTCCATAGCAACCGTTTCCATAGCAACTGTTTCCACAGCAACTGTTTCCATAGCAACTGTTTCCATAGCAACTGTTTCCATAGCAACCGTTTCCATAGCAACTGGTACGAAAGTAACTAGTACCAAAGTAACTAGTACCAAAGTAACTAGTACCAAAGTAACTAGTACCAAAGTAACTAGTACCAAAGTAACTAGTACCAAAGTAACTAGTACCAAAGTAACTAGTACCAAAGTAACTAGTACCAAAGTAACTAGTACAAAAGTAACTACTACCAAAGTACCAAAGTAACTGTTACTAAACTAACTAGTACAAAAGTAACTACTACCAAAGTACCAAAGTAACTGTTACTAAACTAACTGGTACCAAAGTAACTAGTACCAAAGTAGCTGGTACCAAAGTAACTGGTACTAAACTAACTGGTACCAAAGAAACTGGTACTAAACTAATTGGTACCATAGCAATTGGTACCAAAGTAACTAGTACCAAATTAGTTGGTACCATAATAACTAGTACCAAAGTAACTAGTACCAAAGTAACTGGTACTAAACTAACTGGTACCATAGCAACCGTTTCCATAGCAACTGGTACGAATGTAACTAGTACCAAAGTAACTAGTACCAAAGTAGCTGGTACCATAGTAACTAGTACCAAAGTAACTGGTACTAAACTGGTACCATAGCAACCGTTTCCATAGCAACTGTTTCCATAGCAACTGTTTCCATAGCAACCGTTTCCATAGCAACTGGTACGAAAGTAACTAGTACCAAAGTAACTAGTACCAAAGTAACTAGTACCAAAGTAACTAGTACCAAAGTAGCTGGTACCATAGTAACTAGTACCAAAGTAACTGGTACTAAACTGGTACCATAGCAACCGTTTCCATAGCAACTGTTTCCATAGCAACTGTTTCCATAGCAACCGTTTCCATAGCAACTGTTGTTACGTCCCGAGCTAAGGCGAGGGTGGTTTTTATTAATTAACAAAAAAGGGGAGGTAAAGTGCTGATTTATCAAGTTGGTAAATCTTGATATTTATTTTTATGTGGATTCGTGTCACTTTATAAGAACAAGGGTCCTTTGTAAATAATATTATGCACATTCCCTTTTAAAATGAACAATTTATTTGACAATAATGTTTTATAATATAATTTTACTTACAATGTTGAAGTTGGTTCTGGATTGTTACAATGCAACCGGCTTTACACAATTGTATCGCAGGATGACAATAATTCAGTTCGTTATTTAGCACTAATGCACCAACGACTATTAAATACTATTTAAGAATTACTTCTCGACATTGTATCTTAATACAAAAAGAAACTTGTTTCCTTAATAATCGGAAGTAACTTTCATAAAATAATATTATACGACAATCGAAATAAATGAACTTATAAAATTCAATGAAAATTACCTTCGATCTTATATAAATTATAAGAAACAAGACTCTTTTTATTAACACTGATTTAAAAGTACAATTTCACGATTGAAGGGCCGACTCAACGATACTGTTCGGGCAGAAACTCACCGGAGTAATATGACAACTATAAGCCTATTAACAGTGGTTTATATACTTTTTTAAACAATGAAATGATCTAATTTAATTATGATAAAAATTGTAAGATCAAAAGGTTATTCAATGTGTTTTTCAGTTAATACAATTACCTATTTTAATTATTATTGCAATTTTTATCTTCGATCAAAGTTTATCATTTCATGACATACTTTCTTATATATTTACTATATTATAAATATGTGCCTTCTCAGAAAGGTACGAAAAATATGTTTGTCCATTATTATTTAAATCTTTCCATTAGTTATTGCGCAAACGTTAAGCTACTATTTAATTATTTGTATATAATTTACTTTACTGAGAATGTGATATTCTTCAATATCGACGCCTCATAATTAATTCTAAGTTGATCAATTATCATACGGGTTGATAACGCATCGACTGCAGTGAAGAAGAGCAATGTTAATTATGGTCGATAATATTGAACAACGCATGTAGATCATTTCTCTAAAAGATGTATACACACACATACATACACACACCATATACATATCTATATACTTTTCTTTTATGAGATAATTAATTTTAAATACTATATATTAATTACATTATAATAATAGTTATCCATAAGTCTAATTATTATGTATATTATGTGCATATATATATGCATACATACATACATATATCTATAATTACGTAAAAAAAACTATTTTTAAATAGTCGGGATGTAACAGTCCTCCCCCCTTAGTGTTTTTATCGTCCTCGATAAAAGAAACATTTTTTTTTTTTTGGAAAACGTGATTTCGAACAATTTGTGTTTACTTGGTGTGACAAGGAAGATTCGTGCAGATGTTAGTTTCTGTGAAGTTCAAAAAGGGTAAATGAGAGGCCGATTGCGAATTGACACGTGAGATAAGAGGTAAGTTGATCCTTAATTGTGATCGAGTATTGAAACATATCACCACAATAAATATTATCAATTCCAAGGATGTGTGTTGATTATTCCTGCTCCCTTGATGGTGACTTAGGTCAGTATTTTTCCGGAGTTGAACGGTGATTGAACCTTTAGGAATTTGTTTTTGAATCCTTTGATAATGATGGTGGTGGGGCTTCGGGTAAGTATTCATTCAGTGTTAATTTAATCTTCTGATTGACCAGTTTGTTCTTCTGAAAAGAAATGTCAGAAAACGTTCCTACCGTTGAACAGGAAGTCCGTGCAGAAGCTTCGGTTGCAAATTTGACAACACAAACAAGAGACAATAGTACGGTTTATGGTTCGCCTTTTTGTAGAAATAATCTTAATTTTTCCGCTTTAACGTCAAATAATTGGTGCGTTATTCACTGTCGCATTCTTTCTCGAAGAATTGTGGATCTTGAAGAACAGTTTGGAGTGTATCAGTTTGCTTTTTGGCCTATTGCGACTCACCAAGCTGTTGAAACTTTGTGCTGCTTGTTTGCTGAGTTTTCGGGATATCATCTAGATCCGTCTAATATTTTCGTTGTTCGAGAGTTAGACAATTATAGAGGCGGTGTATTGATTAAAGTAAATTCTTTGGAACTTAAACGGCAAATTTTCAATTACGAATATTTATTCAAATTACGGAGATTTAATTTAGATATTGTTTAAGTTAGTGATAATTTTATATATATATAATATATGTGTGATTTTTGCTTGTTTTTGGGTATATATATTTATTAAATTTTATAATTGTTTTATTTTTATATAGCTGATCTTTTTCGGAAGTCAAAAATGCCATTGATGCGAGTATTACCATTAGTTTTATCTTCTGCCATGGAATTGTCGCGACTTTCGAGGAGAGCTAATTCTCTTCAAAAATTATTAAAGATGTCTGATGTGCATTCCACAACGAAGAATTCTTCTTTTAGTCATCCTTATCTTCCAAGGCTGTATAGGGGTTACTATCCTTCCAGAAATTTTCTTCATCGATTCGTACATCAAGAGTGGAAGGAGGAATTATCTGATATAATTGATAGGACCTATCTCATGTCAAATGATCTTCTGGGATTGTTAGAAGGAACCATTATGCCATCTTCTTCATTTCCGGGTCCTTGTGAACATAATTCCTTCTCTTGTATTTGTACAGGGTAAGTTTTCTTTTCTTTTATTTATTTTTTATTTTATTTTTTTTTTTTTTTTGGTTAAAAAGATTTATATATAAATATATATATTGTATTGTTTTTGTCTGTTTATAGCACATATGGCACATCCGATCGTTTCTGTTTGTGTGGGCGATATATACGCATGAATTACAGCTCATACTTGTGTCAGTGTGGACATGTGACATTTGATCCGAACCTGCCTCCTCTTTTTATCAGACAATCAGATGACGGAATTCCGTGTTTGCATATCTCCGAGAATTTGTGAAAAAGTGTTACCTCTTATTTACTCTTATCAATGTCGCTATCTATATTCAGTACAAATATATATACACATAATGAAATCATTACATGTATACATTCATATTTCATATTATATCTCATTTTCACCTTTTTACATATATCACGCTTTGTATACATATTTTACACATATGCACACATAAAGTTTATACATATTGTAATAAAATGAATTAAATTTTATTCCTTATTTGTCTCCTTTTTAATGTAAAAAAAAATTTTTTTTTTTTTTTGTTCTTTTAAGAATTTTATAAAACTATATTTATTGCAATTAAAGTATTTTGTATTTTAAATGTAATTTTTCATTGTAGATTTTTTTAAAAATAATAATTATTAAATTAGCAATAATAATGGACAAGCATATATGTTTTCATTTTATATATATATATATACACACATATATATACATATATATGCATATATAGCAATACTGCATACATGCATATATATGCAATTTTTATTTATTTGATCTTTTCCATTTTTACCTGATGATTTAAAATTGTCTAATTTCTAGTATTAAAAAATGTTTTGATGCAAATTATTTTTACTTAATCATAGTAATATAGTCGTTTTTTTTTTTTTTTTTTTTTTTTTTTAAAAAATTCTTTTATATTCTATATTTTTAAAACAGGTTGTAATTGAATTTTTACTACTTGCGTTGACATCTTACAGCGATTGTCAGAAGTGATTGGTATGTATCTTCGTTAGTTGTTCTTATTATCGGCCGGCTAGTGTCTTACTGGAGCGAGTCTGCTTCTACTTAGCGACGACGGTTATGTATACCGATGTAATTGTATTATAATTAGATTAAAGTATATACTTTCTATGGTAGATGTCCTCCTTCCTTAATAAGACGCATTGTCCTCAATGTGTAATCAGGAACGGATTTAAATATTTGTCGTTCGGGTTGATCGTTGTCTTCTTAATGATATTACTTTATAACAGATATATATGTTCTTTATTACTATTACAGCTAGTATTATTAATAGTAATTTGAAAACAATTGATACGTAGTTTGTAGCTTCAAAAAAAATTCCGAGGAAAGGAATATCCATCTGAAAGTAGTTTTATATATATAATTTTTATTATAATTTTTATTTTTATTTTGTTTATAAAAAGAGGAAAGAAGAAGACGTCCTCCATATCCCCTTTCTTCATTTTCTTTCGTCTTCTTATTTATTTGTTTATTTATTATATATATATATTATTTTTTTTTTGTGAGATTATTATAATATGTTATTATGAAAAACAATAATATTTTATAATTATTTGTTATTAATTGTTTGTTATAGACAATTGTTTTAGATTTAACGGAACAGAAATATTCCAAAATTCATCATTGTTAACAGAAGGTTGTTTATTTGAAAAGAGACGTTTGTTTCTTAATTTACCAAAACAATTATCTTTAGTATGGCCCCTCATATAACATTTTTCGCAACAATTACCCCACTTGTAAAGTTTGATTTTTAATGTATTGGGGTTTTCTTGGCACATTATATAAGTTAGGCTTGTTGTGTTTGTATTTTCGTTTTCTTCGCTAAAGTAATATGTTTTTTCGAGTAATTTTAATAGTTTTCGCGCAACCGTGTGTTCTGCTAATTTGATTCTTAGTTCATTTTTTGCGATAGCAGAAAAAGTGTTACCATGTTTTAAATCTTTTACAGTACATTTTATGTCATAGCGTCTGTTATGTGAAGGGCCTACTACATTTTCTAATTGGAAGACAGGCTTTTCTAAATTATATTCGGCAGTTAATTCTTCGAGTATTCCTTTTGGGTGACGGATGTCGTCGATATTTCCTTTTGGAAATATATTTATATTTATTAATTCTCCTTGAAGAGGTGGTGTTCGAAGTATTATTTCAGCCATCTATAATACATAAAATAATGTCATTATTTTTATTCAAATGCTAATTTTAATTTGTCTATGTGTTTTTGGAACCTATGACCATCACTCGTGATTAAAATTGCTGTGTGTTTATCTAAAATATCCACTATTTCGTAAGGTCCATGATAATAGGGATCGAATTTATTTCTCTTTACCTCTCTTAAAACATAAGCTTTGTCACCTATTTTTCCGAAAAAGGGTTTTGATTTTTTATCATAAATTTCTTTGGATTTAATTTTGGATTTTATAAGATTTTTGGCCGTCAGATTTTTTATTTCTGTTAGTCTTGTTATTAATTCAATTAAATATGATCCATAGGTTTCTAATTTTTCTTTTGGTGGAAAGGAACTAGGGGTCCTAGCAGTTTTTCCAAATACTAGTTCAAAAGGTGTGAAATTTGTTGCTTCATGAACTGATGTATTGTAAGCGAACATTGCAAATGGTAATAATTTATCCCAATCATCGTAATTTTCTGAATATTGTTTTAAAAAATCTACAAGAACTATGTGACTTCTTTCTAAACTTCCGTTTGTTTGTGGTCTGTATCCGGATGTTGTTACTTGTTGTACCTTAAAAATTTTTGATAACTTTCTCATGAGTTTGCTTATAAAACTTGTTCCTTTGTCAGTTAGAATAGTTTTTGGGGCTCCATATTTTGAATATAATTCAGTTGCTACTGCGTGTGCTATTGTGTTGGTTGAAATATCGGGGATTGCTACTGCTATGCAATATTTCGATAAGTGATCTTGCATTGTTAGAATGTAGGAATTGCCATCTGGGGTTGTGGGTAGTTTTCCGACGGTGTCTAGTGAAACTTTGTCGAAAACATCAAGGGGGGTGTCAGTAATTAACATTGGTTCTTTAGTTTTTGCTCTAACTAATTTTTGTTCTTGACAAGTGGGACATTTTCTGATAAATTCGGTCACTTGGTCCTTGATTCCTGTCCAAAAAAATTTTTCGCGTATTCTACGATAAGTTTTTGTTACTCCTTTGTGTCCTCCTATCTTACTAGTGTGGTATTCTTTTATAATGTTCTCTCGAATATCTTCTTTCGGGATAGTAACTTGTCCGTAGCATAAAGTAATTTTTATATTGCTATTTCGAAAGACAAAGTTTAGTATCTGTAAAAGTTCATTCCTGAGTAATTCGTCTGTTAAATCGCCTTTTCTAGAAATTCTTATTTCTTTTATGTTATCTCGTTGAAGTGTAATTTTTAAATTTTGTAAAATATTTTGTACATCTTCTTTAAGAAGCTGATCAAAATATTTATGTTTTACAATTAATGTGTAAATGTTATAACGTCCTTTTGGAGTAATTAAAATTTGTCCTTTTTTTGGGTTTTTGAGTCTTATTTCTTGAGGGTCGATTGCTCCAATATCGATAAGGAGTCGACTAATGGGTGTTGTAAATTCGCAATCGGAGGACATGAAATGAACATAATTATTTTTATAATAGGTTAAATTTTCTCTACATCCGATTATATTAGAAAATTCTTTTTCATTTGTTATAAGAGATATTTCAGGTGGGATGCTTGTAATGGAAGTTTGAATTTTTGATTTTTGTTGTATTTCTTTGTTTTGTGGAGTATTTTCTTTTTCGTCTTCGCTTTGTTCTTCGATTTCTTCAGATGATGATTCTTCACGTATTGGTGGATAGGGTGTAGATATTGCAAGTGGTCTGTCAAAATTTAATGGTGTTACTGCTCTTTTAGATTGGTTTTCAAAAGTAACATTTTTTTTATTGGTATTTTCTTCAATTTTATTGGTTGTATTTGGTTTTTCTGGCGAGTTATTTAATTTTTCTATGATTTCCTTATGAGCATTGGTTAATTTTTCAGCTACTTTTTTGGAAAATTCTACATAGTTTCCAGGTATATGTGCATTGGCAGCTTCATGAATCATAGGATCATCTTCACCAACAGAAAGATTATGCCAATCTCTTGGTGGTAGTTCTTCTTCTTTTAACCAATTTTCGTGTTCTGCTAGTGATTTATTAAATTGTGCTATTGAATTTTCTAAATCTTCTGCTATTTCTTCTCTAGTTTTTGAGGGAATATTTTCTTCTTCTGAGGAGTTATCTTCACTTTCACTTAACGGTGGACTGACAGTTTGAATTATTTCTTTTTCTGAAATGATGCTTTCTGCAGGTATTTCGATTTCATTGATTGGTATTTCTGGAGGTGCATTTTTTGGTGCATGTGGGCTATATAAGGGTGGTATTGGTGCACTAAGGCTTGGTAAAACACTCGTACTTTTCTTTTTTATGGGAGGAATTACCTCTTCAATTTCTGACTCTGAACTGGATGAATAATCTTGCATTACCTTTCGCTGTTCTATTTTTCGTCTCTTTGTTACTCGCTGAGCGATAGTGCTTGTTTCTAGTTTTTGTGTTGATGTTGGTCTAGTTAAGCTTTTTGGTTGAGAAGTTTTTGTAGTTTTGGTCGGTGGTGGAAGATTTTTCTTCGGTCGTAATGAAGAGGTTGTTTGTCCAGTACTTGTGGATGGAACACTTGTTCTTCTTGAGCGTGTAGAAGGAGCTGCTGGAATTTTTGATTTAGTTGATTGTCGGGTTTCTATAAAGATTCTAGCTGTTTTTGTGCTATCATTTTCGATGGGTTCTTCTATAGGGTTTCTAGAAAGTGCATCTGCATTATGGTTTAGTTTTCCTGGCTTATATTTAAATTCATATTCGTAATCTCGTAATTTCAGTCTCCATCTAACTAATCGTTGTCCAGGATCTTTTATAGAATCTATCCATTTTAATGGTTCATGATCACTAACTAATATAAACTTTTTACCATAAATGTAAGGTCTAAAATGATGAACAGCATAAAGGACTGCTAGGCACTCTTTTTCAGTTGTTGAATAATTTTGTTCAGGTGAATTTAAAACTCTAGAAAGAAATGCTATAGGTAAATCTATTCCATCTTTTTCTTGGCTGAGTACAGCACCTACGGCGTAGTGGGATGCATCTGTGGTTATAGTAAAGACTTTACTAAAATCAGGATATTGTAATATAGGGCTAGTACATAAGGCTGATCTTAATTCTTTAAAACTTTCTGCTTGTTCTTGTCCCCAAATAAATTTAATATCTTTCTTTAGTAAATTAGTTAAAGGTTTTGCCTTGGATGAAAAATCTTTTATGAATCTTCTGTAATATCCGGCTAAACCAAGAAATTGTTTTACATTTTTAGAATTTTTTGGGGTAGGAAAATGCTCTACAGCTTCAATCTTTTTCGGGTTAGGTTTGACTCCTTCGCTGGTAATTATGTGACCTAAATAAGCAACTTCTTTAAATAAAAATTCGCATTTCTCAGGTTGTAGTGTTAGTTTTGCTTCTTTAAGTCTTTTTAATAGTCTTCTTACCTTTTTACCATGTTCTTCTAAATTTTCTGCATAGATTACTATGTCGTCTAAATAGACAAATAATTCTACTCCTTGTAAGCCAACCAGTACTTGATCCATGAGTCTTTGAAAGGTAGATGGTGAATTTTTTAGCCCCATAGGCATTCGTATATATTCATAGTGTCCGTGTACAGTTGAAAATGCGGTTTTCTGTCGGTCATTAGGATCTAACTCTATTTGATGAAAACCACTAGCTAAATCAAAAACTGAAAAATATTGGGCCCGGCCCAATGAATCGATCACGCTTGTGATATTCGGAAGGGGGTAAAAGTCCCCCACGGTCTTTTCATTTAGGGCCCTAAAGTCTATAACAATCCTCCATTTCTTCTTTCCAGTCCCATCAATTTTTTTAGGGATTATGAGCAATGGTGAGTTGTAAGGTGATGAGGAAGGACCTATGGCACCTTCGGAAAGCATTCGTTCTATGACTTTATCTATTTCTTCTTTTTGGGCAGGTGAAAATCTATATGGTCTTGTGTGAATGGGTATTTCATCTATTGTAATGATTTTATGTTTTACACGATTCGTTGGAGTTAAGTGTTCACCTGGAAGATGAAAGCTTTCAGGGAATTCTTGTACTAATTGTTTGACATGTTCTTGTTCTTCTAAATTTAAATGTTCTAGTCTTAAATTGTTAATGATTGCAGTAACTCTGTCAGTTAGAGTTTCACATTCGTCAGTTGAAAATTCATCGTCAGATTCTTCACCCGGAAATTTATAATATTCGAATGGAATTAGTTCTTGGGATGGAATTTTTATTTCTATATCCTCAAGAGTTGTATTTATTGCTAGTATATGGCAAAGTCCATTTTTGTTTGTTACTACTCCTTCACCTATTATTAATCCATCAGTTGTTTTAATTAAAGGTAGATATCCTTCTTTTATTTCTTTATTAGTTACTTCTATTGGGATAACTTGTCTAGTTCTGGCTTTAATGATTAGATCTTTATTTTTATTTTCTTTATTGTTTACTAAAATTTCTCTAGCTTGAGTTGATTCATTATCTATGAACAAAATAGGTTTTATTGGATTAGATACTGTAACAATAGTGTTGTGCCAAAATGAGATTGCCGCTTTTTCTTCTCTAAGATAGTCTCTGCCTAGTATTCCGTCGGATTGTATGGGGAAATCAGAAGGTACGACTTGAAATGTTACTAACTTTTTATCTAATAATATTTTTGTTGTTCCTAATGTTGAAATTTTTGTAGGGGTTATTCCTGTTATTTGAATAGCTTCGTCTTGTACAACTATTAATGTAGGATGTAAAACACGTAATTTAATCAAACTAACATCTGCTCCTGTATCTATTAACAATAGAGCAGTTGAATCTATGAAACTAGGAGATTTTAGAGTGATTACTGGGGATTCTTTATTTGTTCTTGTTTGCAAGATAGTTCTTGTTTTCGAAGCATCATTACATTGGCTTGACGCTCTTGTTTTTCGGAGCTCGTCGTCGCGTCTGTTCGTCGAGCTTGGGTAAAGTTTAAATTCTTTTCATTTGATGGTACTGGGGATTGAGCACGTGGTGGTGTTCTAGTGCCTACGTATGGGTTTGTTTTAAGTCCTTCTGTTCTTTGAGGAGGTGAGTAATATGGATAAGGGTTGTTGTATGGTATATATGGATGTGAATTAATTTGAGGAGGTGAAAAATAAGGATATGGTGGATAATAGTTAGATCCTGATGGTAGGGAATTATAAGGATGTTTTAAAATTCCTTGTGAAACTGGAGATTGGGATCGATATTTTGATTTATCTTCTGTGGGGTTGAAGCGTACATGGGGGCTGGGACTTCTATTTCGAGGTTCGTATTCTGTATTTCGCATTCGATAATCGCTCGGCTGCTGATATCTTGAAAAATGATAAGTATTATTGTAGTCATGTAACTGATGTTGATGTCGAGATTCGTATTGCAGAGCTGCTTTAAACGCGTCATCGATTTTTTTAAGATCCCGAGCTTCTATCATACTAGAAATAGCATCTGGAAGTCCTCTTATGAAAGCTTCTAGGGCGCAATCATTTAAAGGTTCTGTCATATTTTCTATTTTGTCTGCGTCATAATTTTCTTCTAGGGCAGCCCTTGCTCCGGATAATAAAAGGGTTAATCTGTCATAGAATTCACTTACGTTTTCACTGCGACCCATACGAATAGTGGATATTTCATGTAAATACCAAGAATAAGATTTTTTAGGGGCAAATCTTTGTTTCAAGTGTTTTATAAGTTCATCAATGGTTCTAAATTTTTTACCATGGGTGCTGTCTCTAGCAGCACCTTTTAATTTTGATAAAACTGATTTAATATATTGATCTTCACAATTTACGGGAATGCTAGATTCTCCATTAATAATATCTTGAATAAAATCTCTTACAGGAATATTTTTTCCATCGTAAAAAGGAATGTGCATAATACCCTGTTGTAAGGCAAAACATTCTGCCATAGATGTTACCATAGCATCATTTAAACTTCGGTTAATAGTACCTGCTAAATTTTCCTCACTGTTAGCCATATCTGAATTTTTAGGTCCAATTTTCATTAATAAAATTTATTGATGATATTTAGATTGAAAGGTAATCCTAAAATTCCAACTATATCCGTTAATCCTTGATGTTTAATAACATGAAATTCGAAAATTGTATAATTAATTGGAATATCAGTTAAGCCTATTGTTTGAATAGTATCGTCCCTAAGTGAACAAGATTTTGAATAATCTATTCCGAAAAATGGTATTAAATCCTTTTCCTTAATTAAATTTATTGGAAGTGAGGGGTCAATAATGAATAAACCATCAAAAGATTTAATAAATTTAGATTTGAGAGTAATTTTTGGGTATAATTCGTTGTATTTTTCAAGAAAATAAAAATAAGAACTCATAAAAATTTATATAATTTTAAATTTGTAATTTAAAATGTAATTATTGAAGATTTTAATTAAAAAAGGGATGTCCTAAAACACCGGCTAATTGTATCAGATTATTGCGCCTGAAAGTATGGAATTTTATTACTTTATCAACTATTCTGATATAAACAACACCTGTGGTTACTAATATGGCTTGATATAGTATATAAGTTTCTGACCTGTCAATTCTAATGTGTGAGGCTAAATAATCTTCGCTAATTAAATTAATGATTTTAGTAGGATCTATTAAAAAAAGACCTGTGCAATTATGTAAATCAATTGAAAAAATATGGATTGTGGGGTAATCAAAATTTATTATAGACATGTAGTTAAAAATTTATAGATTAATATAACCAAGAAACAGCTCAATTAAATACAGAAAATGATTTTAAATTGTTATATTCTGAGTGAGCAATATTTTAAATTCTTGTACAATAAAATATATTTTAAACCACAAAAATATAGAAAGGAGTGTAATAAGAAACAGAGTTATAGATAATATACAGCAATACATGGATCCTATATTTTTCTTTTATTATTATTAAACTAATGCAATTTTCAGACAAGGTTAAAAAAAATTTGTTATAATCGAAATTTCTTCGGGTTAATATTTAAAAATTCTAGTCCCAATATGCCAGCTAATTCGGGTTGATTATTATTTATAAAAGTACTGAATTTGATTGGATTATTAGCGATCGAAATGTATACTGTGCCAGAAGTATATATTGGTCCCGGGACTAAAGTGTATATTTCGGAACGATTGATAATTACTTCAGGACTTAATTGATTTTCATTAATTAAATTAATATTTACTGCTCGATTTATTATAAATAATCCTCTAGAATTTTTAATTGTTTTGGACGAAATATGAATTTTAGGGTAAATTTCAGTATTAAAAATTATATTATTGCTTTTGTTAGACATAAAATTTTTAAAAACACTTCCTTATTTTAAAAAAGTTTCTTATTCGTTGTTGAATGGAAATTTTATGTTTACAGATGATCTTTTCGTATTTTATTGATACCTGATAAAAATAATTAGTTTCGAATATCTGATCAAGAAAGGGTGCTCCTAAAATTCCAATAATTTCCGAATTGCCTTGATAATTGACAATACAAAAATTTAATGAAAAATCCGAAAATTCTATCTTTACTTTTTCACTTGTATAAATTGTATTTTCACGATATGTAGTCAAATTATGTTTATCAGTAGTCGCAAAAGAAGCAACTGCAGAATCTTTTATTAAATTTATAGATAATGTATGATCTATAAGAAAATTTCCTGTATGTGTTTTAAAATAACCTGAATTTAATGTAACATATGGATAAATATATTGATTATTTTCTGTATTTTCAAAATATTTGTTCATTTAATTAATTTGCAATTCATGATTTAAAAGCAAGGGAAGTCTTCAATTATATTTGTTCTAACTGTTGAAAATTATTAACTTGCACCTTTATGCAGGAAAGAACTATGTTTCGAGTACTCCGAACTGCGAGGGGAAACTGATAATTCTAATTGCTAATAATAGACAACTTGCACAATAATCGAGTACAATTCGATCCGCAATTGCCGATTAAAGAAAGAACAAGGTTAATTGTTTATTACTAAATTATTTAACAAAAGTGACATCCCACCGCTGCCACCAAATCAGCTGTTACGTCCCGAGCTAAGGCGAGGGTGGTTTTTATTAATTAACAAAAAAGGGGAGGTAAAGTGCTGATTTATCAAGTTGGTAAATCTTGATATTTATTTTTATGTGGATTCGTGTCACTTTATAAGAACAAGGGTCCTTTGTAAATAATATTATGCACATTCCCTTTTAAAATGAACAATTTATTTGACAATAATGTTTTATAATATAATTTTACTTACAATGTTGAAGTTGGTTCTGGATTGTTACAATGCAACCGGCTTTACACAATTGTATCGCAGGATGACAATAATTCAGTTCGTTATTTAGCACTAATGCACCAACGACTATTAAATACTATTTAAGAATTACTTCTCGACATTGTATCTTAATACAAAAAGAAACTTGTTTCCTTAATAATCGGAAGTAACTTTCATAAAATAATATTATACGACAATCGAAATAAATGAACTTATAAAATTCAATGAAAATTACCTTCGATCTTATATAAATTATAAGAAACAAGACTCTTTTTATTAACACTGATTTAAAAGTACAATTTCACGATTGAAGGGCCGACTCAACGATACTGTTCGGGCAGAAACTCACCGGAGTAATATGACAACTATAAGCCTATTAACAGTGGTTTATATACTTTTTTAAACAATGAAATGATCTAATTTAATTATGATAAAAATTGTAAGATCAAAAGGTTATTCAATGTGTTTTTCAGTTAATACAATTACCTATTTTAATTATTATTGCAATTTTTATCTTCGATCAAAGTTTATCATTTCATGACATACTTTCTTATATATTTACTATATTATAAATATGTGCCTTCTCAGAAAGGTACGAAAAATATGTTTGTCCATTATTATTTAAATCTTTCCATTAGTTATTGCGCAAACGTTAAGCTACTATTTAATTATTTGTATATAATTTACTTTACTGAGAATGTGATATTCTTCAATATCGACGCCTCATAATTAATTCTAAGTTGATCAATTATCATACGGGTTGATAACGCATCGACTGCAGTGAAGAAGAGCAATGTTAATTATGGTCGATAATATTGAACAACGCATGTAGATCATTTCTCTAAAAGATGTATACACACACATACATACACACACCATATACATATCTATATACTTTTCTTTTATGAGATAATTAATTTTAAATACTATATATTAATTACATTATAATAATAGTTATCCATAAGTCTAATTATTATGTATATTATGTGCATATATATATGCATACATACATACATATATCTATAATTACGTAAAAAAAACTATTTTTAAATAGTCGGGATGTAACAACTGTTTCCACAGCAACTGTTTCCATAGCAACTGTTTCCATAGCAACTGTTTCCATAGCAACCGTTTCCATAGCAACTGGTACGAAAGTAACTAGTACCAAAGTAACTAGTACCAAAGTAACTAGTACCAAAGTAACTAGTACCAAAGTAACTAGTACCAAAGTAACTAGTACCAAAGTAACTAGTACCAAAGTAACTAGTACCAAAGTAACTAGTACCAAAGTAACTAGTACAAAAGTAACTACTACCAAAGTACCAAAGTAACTGTTACTAAACTAACTAGTACAAAAGTAACTACTACCAAAGTACCAAAGTAACTGTTACTAAACTAACTGGTACCAAAGTAACTAGTACCAAAGTAGCTGGTACCAAAGTAACTGGTACTAAACTAACTGGTACCAAAGAAACTGGTACTAAACTAATTGGTACCATAGCAATTGGTACCAAAGTAACTAGTACCAAATTAGTTGGTACCATAATAACTAGTACCAAAGTAACTAGTACCAAAGTAACTGGTACTAAACTAACTGGTACCATAGCAACCGTTTCCATAGCAACTGGTACGAATGTAACTAGTACCAAAGTAACTAGTACCAAAGTAGCTGGTACCATAGTAACTAGTACCAAAGTAACTGGTACTAAACTGGTACCATAGCAACCGTTTCCATAGCAACTGTTTCCATAGCAACTGTTTCCATAGCAACCGTTTCCATAGCAACTGGTACGAAAGTAACTAGTACCAAAGTAACTAGTACCAAAGTAACTAGTACCAAAGTAACTAGTACCAAAGTAACTAGTACCAAAGTAGCTGGTACCATAGTAACTAGTACCAAAGTAACTGGTACTAAACTGGTACCATAGCAACCGTTTCCATAGCAACTGTTTCCATAGCAACTGTTTCCATAGCAACCGTTTCCATAGCAACTGGTACGAAAGTAACTAGTACCAAAGTAACTAGTACCAAAGTAACTAGTACCAAAGTAACTAGTACCAAAGTAACTAGTACCAAAGTAACTAGTACCAAAGTAGCTGGTACCATAGTAACTAGTACCAAAGTAACTGGTACTAAACTGGTACCATAGCAACCGTTTCCATAGCAACTGTTTCCATAGCAACCGTTTCCATGATAACTGTTTCCATGACAACCGTTACCATAGCAACTGTTTCCACAGAAACCGAAACCATGACCGTTTTCTTTCTTAGCAACGGTAATATAAATATTAAACCCGAAATCAATCGTTTTAAAAATTCAGTTAAATAAAAATTATCCAAAAATTTTATTGAGAAAAATGTGGTTAAAAAGAAATTCTGTTAAATCCTAATTAATGATTTATATATTTAATTTTTCATAAATTTTCTAAAAGAATTTGAGTCAAATAAGCTTTAAAAGTTGATTCAACCAAAATTTAATTGTTTTAAACCATTTTTTTTTTTACCGAATGTCAAATCATTTAAAAGAGAAAATTTTATTTTTCAATTTTTGACAAAGAAAAAAGTAAACAAATATTGTAAAATTGAAAAACAGGAAGTCGATAGTGTTTTGAGGGCAATAAATTTTTTTTTCTTTTTTTTCGTCTTTTTGTCATCAACATGAATCAAAGCCTCTCTCTGTCTCTCTGATCGGAACAGTGATAAAGCGAGGTGTTCGTTTTAGCGATTCGGAACAGCTCTGGACACTTGTAAGTCAGAATGCGAGCACACACACACACATACACATATACTGTTGTAACACTAATTTCCGGCAAATAGGTTAGGTAGTCGAATCCGAATTTCATCGCACGTCGCACCAGGCGATGCGTTCGTTGGGTTCGTTGGGTTCGTTCGTCCACTAGTTTGTGCATTCGTGGACCAATTTCCCCTTGATTCTCACACCAAGACACATTAATTACCGGTTCGTAAAATCTATGTTGACCGTAAAACGACATAGCAATTACCATCGAAGAGGGAAGACTTCAAATCATGAAATTTTGGGGAAGATACTCTACCACTCCTTTCTAATTTCAATCTTAATGACGATCAATTTAGTTATAACCTTGTATATATATAAAATCGTAATAACTTTTGATTGGCCCTTAAAGTTCTCTCTGTACTTCGTTAAATTATGTCTGTCTCAAATTTATAGTGAAAATATTAATATTAAATATTCCATGTTTACAAATTAACTACTTTTATTAGATTCCAGATCTATTTTACAAAAATCGAAGATTTTTTTTACAGCACATTACAATCCATTTCTAAGTCTCTAGATTTGTTATACAATGAAGGGGCGCATGATTATCCCATAAAAATCAGTTTGAATTTTCATTTTCTTTAATTAGTTATAATTATTTTTTAGAGAAATTTTTATTTTTCGAATTAACATTTAGAAGAATTTTTTTTTAAACAAATTTTTACTTTACAGAAATTTTTATATATCGAAGTTTTATTGTACAAAATTCTTAAAACGCAGAATTTTTATTTGTCCGAAATTGCAAATGGACGAACAAATAATCGATAGAAAAGTTTCGGCGCGATGTTTAAAAACTCACCAATCAAAAGTTGTCAAGAAAATCGTGATTGGTGAATTTTAAACATCGCGCCGAAACTTTTCTATCGATTATTTGTTCGTCCATTTGCAATTTCGGACAAATAAAAATTCTACGTTTTAAGAATTTTGTACAATAAAACTTCGATATATAAAAATTTCTGTATTTATTTCAAATACAGAAATTATTGCTTCAAATACAATTTAATTAATTTAAATAAAAATTATTTAGTTCATGTAAATATTTATTTGACAATACTCAAGTAATCGAGTATTTGAATCAAATAATTTTTTTTTCAGTCTTCATATATTTAGAGAGAAGATATAAGCAAATTTTTTCAATAAATTTAAAATAAAAAAAAATCTCTTTCTTCTCATTTGAAAAAACGGAAAGTTATTTTTCAATAAAGAACTTATTTATATTCAAAAACACTTTGTATAATAAAAATAATTAAACGTGCGGCGCGCCATAAAACAAAAAAAAAATTTCCATCAAGAAATCCATAAATCCAAAAAGTGTGCTTTTTTCAAAAGGGCAAAAATATTTCTTGTTTCGATACACTTGAAATTGAAAAACTCTGTTTTGGTTGTCAATCTCTTTTAGATAGAAAAAAAAACACAAACACACTTTTATCGCTCTTTCCGTTCATAGATGAAATGACTAAAAATATTGAGAGTAAAATAGCGCGCAACACATATTTCCCGCCACATATTTTAAAATGCCAGGTTATAAAATTTTTCATCAAAACATGCGGTCGTTTTCTTACTCTATATACATTTTCTATTAAAAATTGAAAATTCTCAACGACACATCGAAAGATGTGACAAAAATATTAGTTTTTATTTGCAAAAAAAAAAAAAAAAAAAAACAAACGACATTTATATAAAAAAATACATATTTTGAGATTGAAAATGTTTACTTTTTATTTTTTAAAATAAATAAATAAACACAAAATTTAATTAAAACTAAAATAAAAATACAAAACGATATTTTGATGCAGTGTGGTTAAATAATACACCACACACAAAATAATCATTGAATTGTAAAATAGATTAAAAAATTTTCCAAATTAATTTTATAAATAATAATGAAATGTGAAAATAATTAAATTAAAAAAAAAAAAAAAAAAAAATCAGCGTCTAGCGAATGTTCATCGCTATATATTGACATTGTATTAAGCACAAATCAATGTATCCGATTGCATTAAAATTAATAATGACTGGTACATCAGTGTGTGGCGTGCATTTAAATTCCTCTCCCTCTTTTGTCGTGCAAATCAAATTTTTACGCGGCGTTAAATTTTAATTGATGATTCGATAGCATTGAAGCCCGATCCGTAAATAACGAGGTAATATTGGCGCGCTTGAAACCGCGTCAAGTGAGCGTCTATACCGTACCAATCAATCAACGAATTCAAATTCACATATACTTGATATATATTATTCACTATATATAAATATATTTTACTAACAATTATAATATTAGGCTCATTTTTAGAGTATACTATAGAGTATAATTATATATATGGTTTATTAAAGTAACTAATAATTTTCATTTTA